TTTCCGTACCCACTGTATATATATATATATATATATATATATACATTATTTTGTCTAATTTAAAGTTTCAGGCCCAAATCCGAAAAGTTGAGGGAGAAAAGGTTGGTCAATTTATATTTCCATTTCCATCTGTTGTGCATTGGTTTGTGCTTTTATTAATATCTTTCTTATTAAACAGTAACTTTATTTATTTATTTTTTTAAATACTTTATTAAAATATTAATTAATCATCGCTTGACTAATGACCCCTTAAAGGGTAAAAACCAGCTGGCTGCTGAACTGAAAGACAAAGAGATCATCAGCCTCAAAGAAGAACTAAAACAGCTGCAGGTACACAAAATCAACACAATAACAACACACACTTTTACATGACCAGATCTTCCATACCTCTCTCTTGCTTTAGGGACATATACATAAAACAGTGGGAAAATCCATCTCATAGCTGACCTTTGAGTGGGGGTCTGTGTAGGTCTATTTGGTGTTGTCAGATAAATGATGTCACACGGGTGATGAATGGTTTCTCCTACGGTTCATCAAACCCGTAGTTTGGCCGATAAAGGCCCTTGTTACCCTTTTATTTGATAATGCAATTTGGGCAATTGGATTCATATCTAAACACTGTTTGCTCTTATTTATGCCTTTTTGTTTTCATGTTTTAGAAAGGTCACTCTGTGGTCTTTCAGTGAAAACAACTCACTAAACCACTTTCTTCTTCTTTTACTACTGTCTTACAGTTGCTCAGGTACAGTTCGGAGAAGAAATTAGGCGAGCTGGTAAGGATTTCCAATTATATAAATTGTTGACAGAGGCAAGTGGGAGTGGGAAGAATTAAAGAGGAGGAACTGAGAGGGAGAGCGGATCATCAGGAGTAACGGATAGGGAGGACGTGACACGTGAACCGCCAGCGCCGCTGTGAAAATACCACTATTAAAATATTTTATATCGGAGCCTCGCTCTGTTTAACCTTTCGATGGCGCAGAGGGGAATCAGTTTGATACAGACAATCAAACAGTAACGGGCTGCACTTCACATAAAAGCCCCTCAGGCATGTTTGGAAGTTGACTCCTTATCTAGCAGAAAGGAGCACTCAGCCGAGATGTTAAACAAAGGTCTTCAAACTCTCCGATGCAGTATATATTCACGGTCTGCCCTTGCCGAGAAGAATAACTGTTATTACTTGTATGGCCGAATGGGGATATTCCTCTTAGAAGGGAGGACAATGTGTTTTTAAACTTTTCAGGAGCAAAAGTTGCAGCTGCAGACACAAACGAAAGACAGCCACCTGAACCAGCTGGGAGAAGTGGAGAGGCGTTTCGCCGTCATCTCCAGACAGTGTGCCATGGTCAAACAGGCCCATGACAAACTCGAACAAAATGGTAAGACTGACAAACATGGTCTGTCTTAGTGAAAAATAAATTATAACTTTACTTTATGTTGAGTCAGGGGTGTAAACCTGATTATATTTTGCTCATTTAAAAGAGCTGGAAAACATTCAATCTGGTATTCATAATTTTTCTTCATTCAATCTGGACAGATTTGATGTAAAGAAAAAAAAAAAGCTCTTCTTTGCTTTACATCATTTAATTGATTTGTCATTCTTAAAGTATGAATTCTTTGGCATTTGTAGGCGAATCCTAAAAGAAAGCCTGTGTAGCAATGCCAAACTTTTTTAAAATCTTTTTTTTTTCAGTTGAAGAGGCCATGCGAATGAATAAAAAGCTCACATCCATCAACAAAGGTCTTCAAACTCTCCGATGCAGTATATATTCACGGTCTGCCCTTGCCGAGAAGAATAACTGTTATTACTTGTATGGCCGAATGGGGATATTCCTCTTAGAAGGGAGGACAATGTGTTTTTAAACTTTTCAGGAGCAAAAGTTGCAGCTGCAGACACAAACGAAAGACAGCCACCTGAACCAGCTGGGAGAAGTGGAGAGGCGTTTCGCCGTCATCTCCAGACAGTGTGCCATGGTCAAACAGGCCCATGACAAACTCGAACAAAATGGTAAGACTGACAAACATGGTCTGTCTTACTGAAAAATAAATTATAACTTTACTTTATGTTGAGTCAGGGGTGTAAACCTGATTATATGTTGCTCATTTAAAAGAGCTGGAAAACATTCAATCTGGTATTCATAATTTTTCTTCATTCAATCTGGACAGATTTGATGTAAAGAAAAAAAAAAGCTCTTCTTTGCTTTACATCATTTAATTGATTTGTCATTCTTAAAGTATGAATTCTTTGGCATTTGTAGGCGAATCCTAAAAGAAAGCCTGTGTAGCAATGCCAAACTTTTTTTAAATCTTTTTTTTTTCAGTTGAAGAGGCCATGCGAATGAATAAAAAGCTCACATCCATCAATGAAAAACAAGAATCTTCGATTAAAGCCTTGAAAGAGGTATACAAAAAAGCACTGAATCATTGTTGTACCATTGACGATGCTCCTATTGCTTTGTAAATTGATTTGCTTTGAAGTTAGAAGAAGTTCTACATCACTGTGTCACAAATTGTTGCACCTTTTTATTTCATATTTAGGATTTGGAGAGAATCAACAAAGAGCTGGTCACATTCAAAGTGTCGTCGGTCTGCAAACCTGGAGAGGAACGTTTACAAAATGTTCTGAAAGAGCAAGAGTTTCAACTGCTTCAGCAGAAACTCCGTGTGGTAGAATCTCTTTAAATTTGTTAAACATAAAAGGTGATACCAGGATGTCTGTAAATGTTATACTTTGTCTTTAGGAAACAGAACTTAACAAAAAACTGAGAAATGAAATGGCCACAGAAAGGGCAGAGAAGCAGGTAAGCCCGTCAGAAAAAGCTGGACCTTTTTGAGTGTTAGTATCATTTAACAAGGGTAACATCGGACTTAACACTTGGATGAAATGAAGTATGCGTGTGTGTCAGGAGGTATTGAGATCCCTCCACCACAGTCAGAGTTTGCTGCAGAGACAGACAGAATCTCTGAGCCGAGCAGAGAAGGAGCATCGCAAACTCTGTGAAGAATATCAGGTCAGGCTTCCCAAAACCCAACTCCACCAGCAGTATCGCTTTCAACTTAACACACACACACACAAAAAACCAACTATTTTTGCTTTTACATTTTTTTATTTTAATATGTACATTTTATTATTATCATTATTATGTTTTTTACTATGTGCACATCTAAGGAACAGGCTACAGCCACAAACAGACTTCAGTTACAATTCACATATTAATTATGTGATCAAATAAACAAATAAAATGAGCTAATTAAATAAAGGACAATTAATTCTACACATATTTATACACAAAATAAAATATTTTGCAAAAAAAGCTAAATCTGTCAACTTTTTCCAGATATTTATTGTAATTTAATTTTCTTCAAATTATAAAGTTAGTAAGGTATACATATTCAGGAGTAAACAATGGTCACCTAGTACTCATAAAATTGATTGAATGAACTGAAAATCACTTTTGCACATTTACAACACACGAAGTGCAACTCAATAATAGTAAGTGTGTTTAATGTCCGTTTACAGCCTCCTTCTCTTTTATTCCCCCCATTCCTCTATTTAATTCACTTGTTCACACTGATTAAAACCATTATTAACATGACAAAAGTCAACTGATTTGTATTGGCCTCTCCATCTGTTTAGAATCCTCTGTCCAGGTTAAATAAACACATAAAAATGTATTATTGCATTAAAAATTTTCTGGGTAATTAATTTCATTGCAGGTCCTTAAAACAGAACATGAATTGAACCAAGAGAGGACTAAAGAAAAAGACGACGGCTTTGCTCGCTTGAGAGATGAATACCAAAATTCTAAACTTGCTTGGGAAAAAGAGGTGACGATTAGTTCCGGAAAAGCATCACACAAAAACAAAGGATCTGGAACTGAGACTGAACATTTTTTATTAAAATGGTATTTTTATTTTATTTTATTTTTTAAAAGTGAATATTGGTGTTCTCACACAGATTCTGCGATTGCAAATGTCAACGGAGTCTGGTCAAGAAGAGCTGCAAGCGGTAAAAGAGGCATATAATCAACTTCAAGAAGAGCACAAACAGCTGTCTATTTCTGCAGTTCATAAAGCCAAAGAAATTCATAACTCTGAGGTGGGATGATTACGTATACATTCATAACCAGTGACTGTTTAATAAGCTTGTAGATTGGACATGGATAAATAGGTCTAAACTTCATGATTTTGAAATAGTATTTGATTTATTAAGTGATTTGAATTCTAATCGAACTGTGGGGTCTTTTTATTACAGATTGCCATAAAAGATCAAGAAAATTCTCTTTGTACAGCATCTAATGAGATTAACCTTGTGAAGGCGAGCAGTCTCCATGAAGATCTTGAGGAGAGTCTTATTAGTCCTCATGATAACCATGAACAAACATGTCACCCTGATAAAGACGTTCCGGGTAAGTAAGAAAGAATGCACAGTTGTCATTTTCAGCCAAGCTTGGCGCCACTATAACTAATATTTTATACAGAATGATGTGAAGTGCAAGGAGGTGGTTGCTGGAGTCTCTTTATCAAGAAAGCTTACCTGTACTTCTTATTTTTCTCTTATAATGATGCATGCATTTCATTTCCTCACACAGATGAAAGCATCGAGTTTCAAAAGGCTAGAAAAGATGGCTGCTCTCAGAACAACAACAAGGAACTTGACATTCCAATGCAGGCAGATAGAACAGTACCTGTAGTCTCACCATCGGTTTCAACTGATAACATCTCAAGGCCTGAGGATGTCAATCCCATGATAAAGCACCTGTCAAAGCTGTGTGATGAAACAAAAACCGGTGTCAGTGAAAGTGAGCCAGTCTACAAGGCAGATGATAAAGGATGCCCCTCAAACCCAGTCCAAAGTGACACAGACAGTTATCTTGCTGAGCTATCAGGGCCTGAAACCAGGTCTGTTTATGGTGTAGACAGCGACCCTTTGGCTTTGAAACCAAAAGATAGACTGCTGGAACAGAATCTGTGTATTTCTGAAGTGACTGAATCCCAGACATCAGATAAACACATGGACAGCCAGGGATATGCTACATCTCAGTCCAAAGAAGTCAAAGACCACCAGAATGCCGCACCTGAATTTCTCCACAAAGTTTCACAAAAGGAAAGTCAAACAACTGCAGAGAGGCTTTCAGAAGACAAAACTGCAAACTCAAATCCACAAGACACAGTTGTGTTTTACGACAAAACGACCATTACAGAAGAAATGATTGATTCCCAACTAAGCCCATGCCACCAAACCGTTCATGAGGAGCCTGAAACCAGCTTTGATACTGCGAGTGCCACAATAACTTCAGATACACTCCTTCATGAGTCCAAAGATCAGTTCTCTCCACCTGAATTGATTTGTGAACATTCACAAAGCCAGGTATCCCAAGTGGGCGGCTCAACTGAAACAAGCCTCTACAATGTGGTCAACAAGCTGGAATCTAAAGAGTTGCCTCTTGTTGATCAGACCACTTCAGTGACTGCAGTTGACACAGTGGAGGTCATATCAGAAAATAACGATCAAAACAATGATTCAGAACCACTGAAATCTCAACAGATTGAAATGGGTGTTTCTACTGAAGAAGCCAAGATCACAAACCCAGAACAAGATCCTTCTTCTCCTGGGTCTACAACAGCAAATTACCAATCAGATGTTGACCAGAAGAGCATTCCAGTGGTAGATGCTTCAAACGATCCTGGAAATAAAAGATATGAGTCGTCCTTTGCGTGGGACACATTTATGAAAGGGAAAAAGATGCCACATACAACACCGTTAAGAACTGAGCTGTGGTCCTCTGGATTTCATGAGCTTGTTTCTCCATTTTGTGCTCCCATATTTATGAAGAATAAATTGCCAAAAACAGGTGTGTCTTGCAATGTAAACAGATTATTTTATAATAATAAGACTCGGTAACTGACCACAATAAATTGAAAATTAAAATCCTATTTTCACAGCCATAATGAAGACTCCTGACAGACTGGAAACCCCAAGCAAGCGTCAAGGAGAGTGGAATGCTATCAAGCAGTCTTTTTCTGAAATGTTAACAGAGAAAGTAAGTTTCCACACTGGCCAGCGAATAATCTAGTGAGTTAACGTAAGAGGCATGCACTGCAGCACACGCTGAGTGCCTAAAGACAACTTCCATTCCCAGAAGTATTTCAGCAGGGCGAAATGGCAGCATTTTTCTCAATTAAATGTTGATAGAGGACAGCAGGACAAAAGTCTCTGCATATAAATCACAGAGATGCAACCCCAAATGTAACTCCAAAGGGAGCTAAGAGGCTAATATAGAATATACTAGAGATCGTTTTCAAGGCTGTTGTTTTAGATAACATGGTAGTATCCGGGTTCAACATAGTTTTTTTGCTGGATTACTCAAATAAAATCAATAAAAATTTACTCACCCTCAGGCCATAAAAAATGTAGATCAAAAACGATTTTTGGTCACCAATGGATCCTCTGCAGTGAATGGGTTAAAAAAAGCTTTTCACTTCACAAGGCGTTGAGTCATGTGGATCATTGTGACGCTTTTATCAGCTGTTTAAACTCTCATTCTAATGACACCCATTCACTGCAGAAGTGTCCGAAATTTTAATTTAATTTATTCATTTAATTCTAAACAACACTCAATGTGCTTGTTTGCAGTGTTTTTTACTCAAAGTAGTCCAAATCTGGTGGATTTCACTTTTCATTTCCAATCAATGCTTCCATCAGAATTCAATCAAGTTATAGTGCCACGTTGCTTTTATTACCCATTTTATTTTCCCGCAGGAGAATCAAGTTCTTATCTCCTACAGCTCGACTCTGAGTGGCAGTCCAACCTCTTCTTCTGTGGGTAATGGGCTGCGACAAAACTCCACTCCTACCGGTCCTCCTCCCAAACTCCAGAGCGTGGAGAAACCGACCCGGCCAATGGCATCTAGTTCTGAAAGAAAAGAAGAACGAAAACAATCTGACATAATGGCCCAAATTGCAAAAATTGAGGAATTTATGTCAACTGAAGGTTTAATACCTCAAAAAAGACTCAAAACTGATTGATACGTGCTAGAAATGCATCCGTTTGTAAGTTGTTACAGAGTTTAAAATGGTTTTGCTTAGATATGTTTCTAACCCTCCTTGTGAGTAGATGGTGAATATGATATTTGTGTTAATTGCTTACTATATTTCCAAATAATTTAGCTAAATAAATGTTCAATATTTCAAGCAGCTTTACTTTTGCAGACTTTTTTAAAGGGTCAAATGTTTGCAGTCGCTGCATCATGTTAACCTATTGCTAAACAAGGTAAGTGATACACATAAAACCTGTTAATTACACTGCACAAGCTAATTAACACTCATTACTCCCAGACCAGCATGTTTGTTCCTCAGAGGGCATTTAATGGCCAAACATTGCTAATTTACATTTGATACACAAACTGTGGCCAACTATAACTTGGGATAATTAAAATACACAAGTAAGAAGAATCAATTAGCACATATCAAGCCAAATTAACAAATGCAAATGAGTCTCCCATTAAGTTTATGTCCTTGGTAAATAGGCTGTGGGGACCGTGTGGACACATGTTAGGGCGATACAGATGACAAAATGTGTTGCATGTGTCGATACTTGTCACAATGAAAGTGGATACTTGTGTTGAGGCAAATGCACATTTTTAAGTTAAAAAAAATGTTTTTCTTAAAAAATGTCATCTGTAGATCTTTATTTTTTATTTTTATTTTTTTGCCTTTTGTCTTACAGAACTTACCTGGTTTATGTTATATGCTACTTGGTCTAGCCCAAGCGGTAATATTTAATAAGCTATATTTTAGGAAAATAAACCAAATGAGTTTTTATCTCAAATTAAGCACTTTTAAGTGCCTCACAAAAACAGTTCGCTTAGTACTAAAATCATCCAGCAGAAAGCAAATGCGCACCTCCTGATGAAAGCACAAGGTCCCTCAGAGGTTCACCTTAATACACTTACTCATTATTAATATGTCAAAATGTTAATGTCCTCATAAAGAAATCGTATGCGTTCCAGCCACTGTGCCAGCAGTACTGACCCTTATCCTTAGAGGGAGTGGGCAATATGGAGTGCGTAATTTTAATACACACACTGGATTATGAAGTGGCAGTCCTTTGAAACAGTCAATTACACTTGAGCGCGGGAGGGCCCTAGTGTTAATTACTAGTCGGTTTTATATCGTGTGTAAATACAGAGCCTGCTGACATTCACATTCCATCACCGTGTCCTGACTGCCACAGCAAATTAGCCTGACCCGTCTGTGTGCACACCGCTAGGCCGCTGCATGTTCCTTTAACTTTAGAATAACATTCAGCACAAACAAGCCCACTTCTGTTTATTAGGGTAGTTGATGCTATGAGTTTAGGTCACTGTGCTTTGCTTAAAAATGGATTGAGAAATGATCAAATATTTAATGGTCCCTCTTAATGATTTTTGTTTCTGAACAGTTCCATTAACAATTATTTTTTGTACTTTTAAGGAATAAATTTTTTTTTGGGGGGGGGGGGGGGGGTCACTGTTTTTGTTGAATTCACTAAAAAGAACTGATTCATTAGAATCATTAAGGAATCAGCCTACACTTGTTGCACTTTGACTCACTAAAAAGAACCAGCTCATAAGAGTCATAAATACAATACGTTTGGGAATCAGAATGCACTGGTTGCACAGTGTGTTTTTGATTCACTTAAAGAACTGAATCAGACTAACCTGATTGTGCTGTAGTTGTTTAATTCACTAAAAAGAACCAGTGCTTTCAGAATAATGTTCAGGAAATTACTGGTTGTGTTGTATGTTTAATTCACAAAAAGAGCTGACTCTTTCAGAGTAATTTGTTCAGCAATTGGACTACACAGGTTTCACTGTATTTGTTTATTTCTCTAAAAAGAACTGACTGAAGAATCACTTTGGATTTGATTCATTAAAAAGAACTAGCTCATAAGAGTAATTTGTTTGGGAATCGGTGCACTGGTTACACTGTATGTTTTTGATTCATTTAAAGAACCAACTCATTAGAATTTTTTTGATTAGGAATCAGACTAAACTGATTGTGCTGCAGTTGTTTAATTCACTAAAGAGAACCAACTCTTTTATTTGTTCAGGAATCATCTGGTTGTGTTATATTTGTTTGAATACAAAAATAACCAACTCTTTAGAATAATTATAGAATAGCATAGTTCAGCACTCGTACTACACTGGTTTCACTGTATTTGTTGAATTCACTAAAAAAAAGAACTGACTCATTAGAATAATTAATTCAGGAATCAGCCTGCACTGCTTGCATTTTGTCTTTGATTCATTAAAAAGAACCAGCTCATATGAATCATTCATTTGGGTATTAGAGAGCATTGGTAACACTGTATGTTTTTGATTCACTTAAAGAACTGGCAACCCGAAGTGCAATGGTGCTACACGTCGGTGCATTGCGCTGGCGTTGAACTTTGTTTTTTATTCACTTTTCGAACCAACATTTGTTTGGGAATCAAACTAAAGTAGTTGCGCTGTAGTTGTTTAATTCACTAAAGAGAACCAACTCATTAGAATCATTCTTTTGGGAATCAAACTCATTAGAATCATTCTTTTGGCAAACACTGGTTGTGTATTCGTATAATTCACTAAAAAGAGCCAACTTATTTGAATCATTTGTTTGGGAATCGAACTACACTGATCTCTTTCGCACTGTAGTTTCAGTATAGCGTATCCAAACGCCATTTGAAATGTCCTGCCACAATTTCCTTTTTCAATAGGAAAGCCCTAAATGACAAAAGTGTGCACCAAACCAGGAACGTGGATGAATAATTACATTAACATCTTTCTTCAAATCCCCCAACCCTCCTCTTTTTTTTTTTTTTTTTTAAAGGCAGTACACTGTTGTTTTCCCTCTATAGCTGTGAATCACCTCCACTCTGGCCTTCTCATCTTACCTCACATTGAGAGACTTGAAGATAATCCCAGCCTGCCCACTACTGTCAAAGGTCAGCACAGTTTAAAGTTCACCATCCACATCATTTATATGGCCTTAAATTAGCCCCAACGCAAAGTTCTAACTGTTCCTCTCTCTTTCAACCAGTTGTTAATCTTCTCATCGTACTTCGAATCCAATGAGAAATAGGAATGCTCAGCGGACGGCTGTTTTGATTGAATTATACCCCTCAAGGACCACCATGGCAGGCCCATACGCTTTTAATTTTGAAGAGGTAACAAGCGATCACACGGGTACACGGTACTCCCCATACGTGGAGTATGTCATCCCCACCTATATATCTGTTCAGCCGCCATTGTGCACCTCTTAAAGGATGAGCCATTTCGGCTGTGATGGGTGGGGGGCGATCAGGAGCCCTATCTTAACCACATGCCGTCCTGCATTAGCCGTGTCCCTATTGAGGTGTCAGCCCATAAGTCTTGCTCAGTGGGATGTCACAGCCAGATGATGGAGAGTGCTTCTTCACTCCAGGGGATCTTGTAAAACTTGCATGCCCCCGGTCTCTACTCCCAGTCCGGCCTCCTCCTCGACACGGTCTCCCCTCGTGCTAAATCAGAACTAGTGAATGGCACGCTGAGATCCATTAAGCAACAAACGTATTTGGTTACTTACTTACTAAGGGTATTGCAAGGGTCTTCCTGGTTGAAGTACTACACTCAAAAAACTCCTAAAAGTTATGTGCTTGTAAAGATTGACAGTTTAAAATTCATAGTCAAGTTAGGTATGAAACTGAAAGGTAAGATTTCAGTCTGTATAATCACAATTGATCAATGGTTCTAAGTATCTGCAATTAAAAAAACAAAAACAATCTCAGTATGCTTATCGAAATATTATGCATAATATTACATACACACACACACTTGTGCAACACTTGTATAAATCGAAATATTCTATTTTAGTTTAAAAATTCTTATTTGATATCCTCAATTTAAATGGAGGAAAAAAGTTTGGGGTTGGTAAGATTTATTTATTTATTTATTTGATCAGGAATACAGTAGTATTGTGAAATATTACTACAATTTAAAATAACTTCTACTTTAATATATATTTTTGTGTGAAACATGATTAAAACAAAAAACTGGATTCTTTGCTGAATATACGCCCATTTCACAGACAAGGCTCAAGTTAGTCCCAGACTAAAATGCATGTTTGAGCTGTCTCAACTGAAAATATCTTGCTCTGACATATCTTAAAATCTGTTCTGTCTCAAGATGCACACCTGTAACGTTTTCTTCTAAGGCAGTTTTATAAAAGCTGCTTAAATATCTTAATTTAACTAAGGCCTAGTACTGGCTTAAGCTAAGCCTCGTCTGTGAAACCGGGCCAAAAAGTTTTAGAATTTAATGTGTCCTTGCTGAATAAAAGCATTAATTATTTTATTTATTTATTTTTTATTATATTGATCCCAAACTTTTGAATGGTAGTATTTATGTAATCCACAGGGGGGAGAGCTTAATATGAATACTGTCTGCGAGCAGTTTGGATTTTAACTTTGTCAACATTTCTTCATGGCCTAATGCTTCAGACCTTTTTGTTTCACTCATTTTGCTTTTGATATTTAAGTGGCAGACCCAGAGAGAAAATAGATACGGAGAGCCTCCCCCTCAGTGAGGCTTCAATGATGTGCACCATTACGTTCAGTCGGCGACCCTTAACAGCTCCTCAGTGATGAGCTAAGCTTCTCAATTGCTCTTTCTCGCTATCACTGTATACGGCATGAACGGCATATCCTGTGCTGTTTTTTTAACACAGCCTTTTATTTTGCATTTTATAATATTTCTTATTTTCAGTTTAATCTTTTAAAATGAATAATTAAACCATCTTGATTGGACAGTATATAAAATAATGTGTTTAATTTGAGTTCCAATATTCATCCATTTTTAGTTTGGTTTTTAGTAGAGGCATAAGAGACAGATTGCACTTGCCTTTAAATTTATTAGACATCATGCTAACATAATATTCACATTTTTACACATATCTTAGATTTGGCTGAACTCAGTGGGTTTACAAAACTCTTCACAGTGTTTATGTTTGTGTGGCAGCTCCTTTGTCAAATAATAAGAACTGATTTGTTCCCAAAGAAAGCTTTTTTGGCATTTGGCATTCCACATGTTGAATATATTGTTTACTTTTCTAACTCCCCCTTAAAGACAAAAAAATGGGCATGACTTGAGTGATTTTTGTGTCTATGTTTTTTAACTTGCTGATTTTAGCACAATATAATCTGCAAATCAGTGTGTCAGATTTTCAGCGGGAAATAGAGATGTGTATTTATCCCCTACTGCTAGATTAATGACCACTGGTGTAACCTTATGACCTGTCCGATTACAGGAAAAATGAGCTCAGAGGTCATTAGATTCAGATCTGTTCCATTCTGCCTTATTGGTGCCACTGACTCCAATTTTAGATAATTCCTAAACAAAATCGGAAGCCACAAGCAGACTTTCTTTTTTTGGTTATCATCACCCATATTGCATTTACAAATATACTTTACGACTTCCTTGAACCCAGACTGTGTCTCTGGACCTCAGTGAGGACGTTCACCTTTCGCATGCTCTTTAACTAAAAGTAAACAGTTGATGCTTCATTCAGGCTGTAGACATTTAATAAAGAATGTGTTTAACCAAATATGTTTTATTGAAGGTAAATGGCTAATGAGCTCTTATGCAACCGTCAGAAACGGGTTACGGTTGCATCATTAATTATCAAATGAGGAATGTGCAGGCCTTTTCATCTTAATCTAGAAAGCAAGGGCCACAGCACAGCAGGAATTCAGATGATTTAGCTGGCTTTGACTTAATCAGTCTTAGAAGCATTACAATGGCAGTGCACAATGATGGATCACTTTCTGGTCCCTGAGGAGTGTTTATATTGTGCTTTCACTGAACCGCTCACCCTGCTGACCGGCTAAGAGAAAATGAATAAGTTGGTTAGATTTGAGGGGTTTGTTATGGAAGCCCATTTCTGCCTCAGAAAAAATAAAAAAGGTAATTGCGAGATTAGGTTTAAGCTCAGAAATAAAGCCACAGTGTGCGATATAAATTTACAATTGCATGATATAAAGCTGCAACTGTGATTTGAAGTCATAAGTGCAAGATTTGTCAAATTGTGAGTTTTAAAGTCGCAATTCTGAGAAAGTTACAATTGCAAGATTTAAAGTAGAAATTGAGAAAGTCACAATTGTGAAATAGTCGCAATTGTGAGAAGTCACAACTGCAAGAAAGTCATAATTGCAAGATGTAATGTCAAATTGTGAGTTATAAAGTTGGAATTCTGAGTTGTAGTAATTGCGAGAAAGTCATAAGCGCAAGATTTGTCAAACTGAGTTTTAAAGTCGCAATTCTGAGAAAGTCACAATTGCAAGATTTGAAGAATAAATTATAAGAAAGTCGCAATCGATACAAATGAAGTCACAATAGCGAGATAAAGCCATTATTGTGAAATAAAAAGTCGCAATTCTGAGAAGTCGCAACTGCAAGAAAGTCATAACTGCAAGATAAAATGTCAAAGTGTGAGTTATAAAGTCGCATTTCTGAGAATAGTAGACAATTGTGGGATTTAAAATAAACATTATGAGAAAGTCGCAATTGATACAAATGAAGTGACAATTGCAAGATAAAACAGCAATTGTGAGACAAAATGTCACAATTCTGAGAAGTGAAGACAATTACAAGATTTAAAATAAATCGCATTTGTCAAATCACAGTCACAATTGAGACAAAGTTGCAATTGAAGCTACAAAGTTCCAGTTGCTGTGAAAAAAAGTCACAATTGTGTGATATACAACTAGATTTTTTTCTTAATATTTTCACAGACTAAGAACTCGGAAGGGTTTTTTATGGTGACTGCCAAATTAATCATAATTAGCCATTTTAAATCATTTATATGATTTTCTTAATTAAAATTATTCGCAGACGTCACATAATATTTGAGTGATCCAACACATTGTGTTGTTTTGAATGCTGATGCTTTCATTGCTAATTGGAGTGAAAGTCTTCAGCAGAATGATAACACTAAAAACAGTCTCCCCTGCGGAAAGCCCCTCATCCTGACCAGCCCATGAACCCGTACGCAGTCAGAGACATCTCTCTTCAAGTAACTGTACTCTTGTAAGTTTGTTGCCAAATGATCTGGCATGAAAGGATTTGCGAGCGTCTCTATGCCAAACTAGCATTTTTAATTGCTGAACCATAAAAATGGTCTTACGTGTTGTGGACTAGAAGATACGGAACAGAATGTCTCCTCAAATAACGCTTAGACAGTAGCACGTACTCCATGTCATGCCCACCACCGAAAACAACCAGTACACAAACAAATTACAGAGCGATATCACTATCTAGCTGAGTCATGGATCCAAAAACATCACAACGGTGACCGCAAGAAAAACAAGAGCCTGTATCTTCTGCACCCACAACAACCTCTTGTGTTGATGTATCTACTTGCGCTTTTGACTTTTTATCAAACCAATCCATCCTCAGCATTTATAATTTCCAGATCTGATCCCTTTTCTGCAACAAAGTTGACTTATTGCTCAGTTCAGCGCTCATGATTTGGCTCAAGATAAGCACTTTGTAGTGATTTGTAGATGTGGTATTCGATTCCGACTAAACCGATGCCGTGGCGCTCAAACATAGAGATACTATCTTTGAAGAAATGTCCCGACATAATTTCTCCTCTCTCCTGGAGCCCGGCCAGCCTCTGTAAAGTTTTCTCTCCCCATAAACTTAAGTGGAGACTGAAAAATTTCATCTCCAGAGATTGATAGTGTGTGCTTAGGATATAGACCTCTCAGCTTTTATTAAACAAGGAGTCTTTTCTTCATAAGTGTTCCATTGTGTGCTATTTGTAGAGCGAAAGACTTCACGATGTCTCCCATCCAAAACTATCACCCTGCGTTTAGAACAATAGTATGTATAGCACATAATGTATAAGAGCAATATACAACGGTGCTTTGACAAGATGATATGTAAGTCAGAGGGGTTCGCGCCTTTGTTAAAACCCCTCTGAGTTCTAATTAAATCAAATGTTTGATGTTTTTCTTTTCTCTTTCCACATGTTCAGGGTTGTTCCAGTCTGAGCATACCAAACTGAATGAATTAATGGCCTTGCAGCTGGCGGTACCACTCCGGCTGATACCCTCTCCGTGTTTAGGTAACGTTGGACGCTTTCCTGCATCCGTTTAAATGCTGAATTTCTCTGCGTTCGGACTTTTTGAAGGCAAGCCAGTGTTTTAAATACCTCAGCGAATCTCAGACGATTCTCAGCCTTTGCCTTATCGGCAGTTCACCACAAATCCACAACCACCTGCATGTTATTTTAATAGCATCTCCCAACGCCTCAGGCCTTGTGTAGCACCAACAAGGCCAAGTTCCAGAGCTAATTTTGCCCTGAAAATGCAAACTATGCTTAAAGTTTTAAGATGATTCAGTTTGAAGTATTAGAATGTATTCTCATAATATGTGGAATCACTTGACATTTCGTTTGAAAAGAACCAGACGGACCACAAAAAAAGATAAAGTGGCACCGTCTCAAACAGTCTCTAACTTTAGTTCAAGGACACTAGTCTATGTACAGTATGTAAATTAGCACAGAAAATGATTTGGACACATCCCTCAGTTAAAACAAAATTCTGGCCATCGCTTGGAGGCCATCTTAAAGGAATAGTTTACTCAAAAATGAAAATGTTGGGATCATTTACTCACCCTCATGTTGTTCCAAACCTGTATGAGTTTCTTTCTTGTGTTGAAAATAAAAGAAGATCTTTTGAAGAATACTGGTAATCAAACAATTGATGGTCCCCATTGCCATCCATAGTATTTCTTTCCCTACTATGGAAGTCAATGGGGACCGACAACCATTCGGCTCTTCAAAATTCTTCAAAATATCTTCTTTTGTGTTCAGCATAAGAAATGAACTTACACAAGTTTGGAACTACATAAGGGTGAGTAAATGATAAAATTTTTGGGTAAACTATTCCTTTAACGCTATTTTCAGTCTTGCATGTACAGTTACAGTTTTAAGTGTGGTAAAGACCAAAATCTATGTAACTTTGTCAAAATGATATTTCAATACCATTTCAATTCAGGGATAAAAATCTAACAATCATAGAATCACATATTGCACTTCATAAGCTCAAAAAAACTACATATTTTAAAGTTTCAAAGAATATTAAGAGTATTATTTGAGTTTTGCAGTAATATTAGAGTTTTACAAGAAAGTACTATTTCAATCTTCTACTTCAAAATTTCATGTGTAATTCAATGTTACTTGCGGTTTCTTTGTAATTTGTGAATTTTACTGGCAATTCCTCAGTGAAAATTGTTACAAAATAATTTGTAAAGTGGGAGTTGTAGCTAGGCCTGTCGCAATAATCAATATATCAACTTATCACGCAATATATGTACATGACCTCAATCATTTTTGGTGACGCAATATATCACCCATTATATTTACTTAAAAATGAATGTCACCATGTTTTGTACATTCCACTTGCGCCTGTGTCTTTTGCAGCTTCTCGTACATAATGAAAAGATGCTTCTACAAAAAAAGGTTTCATCTGCAGATATGGTCTTGTTTAGGGATCTGTGCCTTTGTGCATACGGACATCTGACTGCTTAGTAGTGATTGTGTTTTCCAGTAATAGTGTGCACCCTTCATTTACAGAGAAAAGAAGGTCAGGAAAAAATCTGCAGATGGAAAACTCTTCATACAAGTTCTTTGTGCAGTTTTCTTTTTTTCTACTTGTTACTTTGCACTTTTTGTTAGAAAATGTTTATTTATTATTTATTCAGGTTTTTTAAGGTATCTAATATTTTGATACTTAATTTCCATGATCTAAATATTCTTAAAAATTAAAAGTTTGTTGTCATTTGTAAGTGTGTAGGCCTTCTTGCATTATTATGCTGTTACATTATGATTATATGATTCTGTGGCATAAAATGGTCTTTAAAATGACAATAATATCGCTTATCGCAATTATTTCTGGGGCAATATATCGCACAACAAAAAGTTGTTATCATGACAGGCCTACTTGTAGCCACCATATTAAGCATCACGATTTCCCCAATTTATATATTATAGTTAACTATATCCTTGGTTAAAATAATTAAATAGCGGATAGATAAATAAATAATGGATATACACTCTACAAAAAAACCTGTAAAAATAGGGCACAATATACTGTATAATTTGAAGGAATTTTTCCGTATTTATTTTTTTACAGGTGTTTTACCAGTATTTTGAATTTTATTGAATCATTGCATAAAATTACTGGATAATGTCGTGTGTAATGAGCTGCCAGTACTTTTTGTTATTTTACGGATTTATTTTTTACATTGTACACTAGCTTGGCATTTCAGGGTGTTTAAACATAATGCGACACTCATGCTGTGAAAGCTTTAACATGAATTGATCAGTACAAATGTGTTTAGTTGTTGACCTGTAAATGGGTTTAAATTATTCTTTTTCAAGGGAGAATGTTTGTGGATGAACTTCTGATTATGCTAATTCAATGTAATTTAATGTAAATTGTGCTTTTCTGGTCTAGTCTTATTTTAAAGCATAATATCTTGTGGCCATACTTTTAAAACAGTCTGTTTTAATGTTTACTGCCTGGCCTTACGTACTTGCATTGAAACAGTATTTTCTGTGATAATCTGCCACAAAAAGAGCGGTACTGAACCTCCCTGAGCCACCTGTGCAGCAGTGTTTCTGGTACTTTGCACGTGGCGTTTGGGTCAGCAAACCGCCCTGTTATGAAAGGACCCTGGTATCAGCAGATAAAAACCATGGGAGTGACCAAGGCCTTTTTTTAGCCGCCAAACAAAAGCGCTCTTAATTTTCACCCTCAATATCAGTGGCTTTACCATCCTCCCTGTCCATCTAGGACACACTTTGTGTATCAAAAGGAATTTCTAACATCAGAAGCACTGACCAATCATGTTGAACCTGCATTTTTGTGAGTGTGAGAAAAATCGGCATGAACAGTGGGGCATTGTTTTGAAGCAGACAAGGGAAAATTCATGTCTAGAGATGTAACGTAGCATTTCACCAAAGCCCATTGCTGATAAGAAGGACGATGATTCATTTCACCACACGTCTGTGGCTAACAGAGCTTTTATTTATTTGACAAAGATAGTGTGTTCTCTGTCAGCGTTGACATCCGTTACATTTGTCGTCCATGGTCTTCGGACCTGTCCGTTTCATTACTTACGACTTTAATCACAAGTCTTCTCATGTTTACAATAAATCGCCGCTTCAAGTGGAATCTGTTAGCTCGAGACTCCACAAGCATACTCAAACTTTGGTGTCCTTTGTCATGGGTGAGCAGTAACATTTCTCATTTCCTTTAAATGCTCTCTGAGGATTCCAAGAGAGATTCATCAAACAAGTGGAAATCATCTGGGGCTATCAATTAGTCTGCTGTACAAATGAAGTCGGTAGAGGTTCTACCTTGAAGTCAGATCTCTTTGATGCAATAGCGAGCTTTGGAAAAACAAAATATTTTCAGGGTCACTTGAACCGCTGTGTTTTTCTTGAGCCTGTGGAGCACTTGGGTAAAAGTCGGCTAGGTTTTATTTTAAGATAATTTGTTGTTTGTTAAGTGGAAAAATGCACTTGAATGGCCAGGGGAGCCATTCTTTTTCTCTGCTGTTGTTTCAGAAATGCGGCATTAGACATCTACAGAATTTCTCCGACCCCTTGGGGGAGCCCAGAAAAACCTATGGTCTTTTTTTTCTCAGCAGAAATAGCAAAAAGTGGGTGTTGTGTGTGTGTGTGAACAAGGGAGTTCGGCAAAGAAGATGAGGTGAGACCTAGTGTTAACTAAAACTCATTATTTTCTCAGTATAGTGCTGCATTCGGCCTAATTGAAGCCAAACATTATTACATTTTTCATCTAGCTTATGTGTCACTCAGGTATTCTCTCACCATTTCAGTTTCAACAACATGTTAGTGTCGGATGAAGTACACAAATCAGGCAAAGTATTTGTATTTTAAAACTCAGTTATATTTCTAAAAATGGCAGGATGTCCTAAACACATAGAATATGGCTTTTATAGGACTACTGTAGGTTTAAGCTCAATTTAAGTTCGACATTAGTTCGGTAACTTACTTTTCGCGCTATCAGTAAAATCCTCCGTGTCCGTGAGCTCTGAGCATCTTATTAGCCAGCCTGGTCTCATTGTTTATACGTAGGTATTATTACGTAACATTTACAAGCACAAAACGTACATTTTAGCATCAATAAAAACTTACAATTTTTTAATTTTTCAACATTTAAAACGTACAAACCGCTACATATTTTTATCTAAAAAACGTAAAATATTTACGTATCTTTTATATCATTAAGATATTCATATCAATGCATTTTTGACAATAAGCGATTTAGATTTTTAGACCCCTTAAGGCCTGTTCATTCTACGAACGATAACTATAAAGATAACAATAAAGATAACGATATTAGCGTCCACACCAGCGAACGATATCATCTGTTTATTCTAAGCACGTGTCTGCCACTTTAAATTCTCGAGCTTGTTATATCAGGATGGATTCTGATTGACTGTCAATGTTTTTATTGTTCATCAGCTGGAAAAAAAAATAGTTCTGAAAAGTTTCTCTGTGCCTTTATCGTTATAGCTGTTGTGTGAACTCTGCTATTCTTGATTCCTTAAAGGCCCATTCACACCAAGGACGATAACTATAAAGATAACGATAAAGATATAGGGTCCTAGGGTCACTTTATATTGTGGCTGTAATACCTGTGTACTTACATAGTAACTAGATGTGTACATAGTATGTAACCACAGTGTAAGTACACATTAGTACATAGTATCTACAGCTCCAATGTTTGTGTAACTACACATATGTAACAACCCACTGAATGGTATGTGTAAGTACAAATGTGTAACAGGACATTGGTAACAACACTTTTTGGTAATGAAAGTACAAATGTGTAACAGGACTAACAGCACTTTTTGGTAAAGAAAGTGTTACACTTTATATTAGATTTACCATGTAATTACTCTGATGGTACACAGCAGCAGCCAGTAGGTTAGGTTTTACATATAAATTGTAGTTGGTGTCCAGAATGTTACACTTTATATTAAGTGGGCAGTTCCTGAGGAGTTACCATGTAAGTACACTGGTATTACAGTGGTGCACCAACTCCTCCCACTTTACATATCCCTAAACCTACCCATCTCCACCCCCTGGATCAAATGGTTCCAATTACTCTTATGCATATTGTTGTTACAAAATGTAGTTATATAATTCCTGTTACACGAGTACTTAGTGAAGTGAAAAAAAGTGTGTTACCAATGTCCTGTTACACATTTGTACTTGCACAAACCATT